AACAAGTTCTACCTTCCTTCTAGTTTTGGTCAGGTAACCTTTCTCCTTCTTAAAATAAGAAGGTGTTCCACTTGGGGATTTCACTATCCGACATGAAATTAAATCCTACGTGTCACTAGCTGTCAAAAGAGGATTGATGGCTTTTTCCTGTGAAAAGAATAGCAAAATGTTTTCTTTGTATTTCAATGGAAGGCATGCCAAGACCTATTGTAGCCATTTGATTGCTCCGTAAGTCGAAATTTAAATCTCTTCTCCCTACTTTTATGGCTTTTTGCGTCCTTTGACACAACTTAGAGTACGATTGTTCTGGCAGTGGTAGGCAGAAATGCTTCACAAAACCAGAAATCTGGATTTACTTCTTAAAATATTAAAAGGAGTGGGATCTGGAGCGAATCATAGAGGAAGTCTTAAGGTGGTATTCAGGGAGGCACTTTGGTGCTTCGAAACGCATCACTGATTTCGTTGTTAAGATATGAAGGAATAAAGAAAAAAAGGCTTCTAGCTAATAAATGCCACGAAATGTAGGTGAAGTAGAGGATGATCTTACAGTGACCTTGTCTTTCTAAGCAATTTGCTTTGTAAAACGGCGTGACATTCACTAATTCTAGCCAAATCCACGTACTACTACTCAGGTAATAAGTAGACTTCTGACCATGTTATGAATTATCGTCATCCCAGTTTCGCACTCAGGATTAATTACATTTGAAAGGAAATTGATACTATAATGGACTAAGAGGAAGCGCTCCAGACAATGCTTAAATAAAGGAGAGAGCTATTAGGTTACCTGAATTATCAGTCGCTTTCGGGGTTTCATAAGCCATTCTGCTTGTTAACTCGAATAACCCAAACATGTTTTGTTTTTTCCCACGCTGTGGGGTTCGAGCGGGTGGATTTAACCACTTTGGTGACTTATCTGAGCCAAATGATAAAAGCCTTCACCTCATTGTTATTCCTTTGATATTGTAATCGCCAATTCGTTTGAAGTTGCCATAACCTATACCACATCACCGTCTGGCCATTTGGCCTGCCAAATTGTGCTTGATGACAGTTTATTAAAACGATTAGGATTGATCAAAGGGGTGACCATTTTTAGCATTGTAGAAGTAGTGATTTGATTACTGAGAAAAATAAAATATTTCGTGTGGTATTTGCCAAAGCGCCTAAGTGGAGACTTTAAATCCATTCGGAGGCATGGATTTTAAACCACTGGTAGATGTGTATCAGTCTTCAAAATCATAGAGCTTCTAAAAAGAAAACAGGGCTGATGAATAGGCGTCCCTTCCCTCTACGTTTCCAAGAAGTGAACGAGTTATCTTGCATTCGACAATACGTATGGATTCGGTGAGTGTTTCTTCACCTTCTCGTATTCAACACAAAGACACGACAAATTACTGTTAAAAGTGACATTAGTGGCCCATTTTTACAACACGATAGTCATCGGAATTGAAAGAGGTAGAGGGTAGGTTAAAAGGCTTGAGTAGCTCTCCTGACTAAGATGTTTAAAATAGACAACTGCCGGAGCGCAGCTCTACCTTTTTCTTTTTAAGTAGCATGTGCCATCCCCGCCTTATGGTCATGAATTTAGCTCCACGGGCTCAATTCGAGTCAATCAGTCCTTTTGTACAATTGTAACGAAATTAGAGCTCTACTTCTGATTTCCGAAAAGGGAGAACCCTGAAGATGATTTAGTGATTTTACTTATTTAAGTAGTATGTCAGGGTTGTCAAGATTAGGTTGTTTCACTCACAACCTTTCTGTTTCCAGTTTGTCAATTAGTCAGCACTTTTCTACACTTTCGATAGAGTTATATCCAGACGTATGATATCTGTCGGAGGAGAAATGCACAACCATCCGTTACTTTCCATTGGATTGGTTTCGTCCCTCAACATAACGTACTTCCCCACTTTGATAATACTGAATGATGGAGCGTTCTCTTTCTCAGTCCATTGCTCCCGAGTCATATGATCACCCTTCCCCGTCTGCTGTCATAATCCCTCCGATGTCGAGAACTGGGGTCAAACATGGGCTTTCTGATCATGGAAAGAAAACATTGGGTCCTCGTGTCAATGACTCATACCCCAAATCCCTATTTGATCCACGAAGTGTACTGGAGGGACATCCAATATCCTATACCAATTGCCCACAGCCACCACACTCCTTGTCAAGTTGTTATTCGCAAGAAATCTGTCTCCTGTTCTAATGCTCTATTCCTACTGTCCTCACCCCTAGTCGGTTATTTAAACGCCGTTTTTCTACTGTATAAGCAATAGAGTTTTGTTTATTTACACCACTTAGACATGAGGGTGGCAGTTATTCTGGTCCATCACAGTCCATGGCCGTGAAAAATGGGGGGTTTCAGTGACCGTTTTTTTCAGCTTCCTTCCAGCGGGTTATGTGCATAACCCAGTGAATGGTTCGCCGAAACCCTCCACCATCATTTCGAGGTCTATCAGGACTTAAATGCCCCTCTCAGGCTGATTAGTTACTTAAACAAATGCTATACTATCCCACAGAAATACATTAAAAAGAAGATCAAGAGTAAGGAAAAAAAATTAATTAGTAACACCAAGACAGCGCCCTTGTTCGGTGTCGGTAAAGGGAAGGGGACGAAGTTAATGACACCCGTGACCCTGAAAACATAAAATGACTGATAAAGACAAAAAAAAAATGAACTACAAAATTAATTAAATCAACTTCTTTTTCTTCATTCGATAACAAGACAAAAATTCTTTCCATTTACTTCACGGATGCCATAAACATAATCATCCAGCATCTCAAGTGTCCATAAAAAAGTTGATTTGCTACTCTCCGGACTTGGAGGCCCAAGTAATGGACGCAAACACTTAGAAGAGGGTGAGAACTTTGGACTATGGGAGAGCTAGGGTAGAAATAAACTACACTGGCTTTAAGACCTCACGAAGGTAACACACCTTGCTAAAAATTGGTGTCTCAAACGGACAGTATTTTTCCTCTAATCATAGTGCATGAGGGACATAAAAAACGATTCCTTTTACCGCCTTTTCCAATTGTGGAATAGACATTTTTTAAGGCTACGCGATGTCTGTCTATTCTCAACACAAGTTGGGGTGGATTGCTAACCCGCCCAATTGAAGAGACAGCGTCGTGACTGCAGCATGGGCTGACTTGTTTGTCCCACTCAGGCTGTGTAATTTAGCAATTGTGGCAGCCGTCAGCATGCTGTCAGCCTCTTTGTGTGTTTACCAAACATGAGCATCACGTGTTTGGTGATAAGAGCACCGGCAACACACTGTAGACTGAATGCAAATTTTGACGAGGTCATAGACGTCTCCACCCAATTGCCAAGATGGCATCTGATGTCTGGAGACCGGATGGTTACGCCTTTCCGACCAACCCAAAACACTCTAGACGTTTTCAGAGGCTGCCATCCACCACCAAATTTTCCTAGCCTACCTATTAAAGGTGACAACGGATATGTTACATTGTCACTGTAGCCATGGCCACTGCCTGACAGTAGTGATGCGGTGAGAATGACTAAAATGGGTACCCACTAATGGCAGGGGGATTTAACCAGGAGAATACATCCAATGCAGGGTACAAATGTCTGACAGACAGTCTGTATTTGACACAGAATTTCCAGCTCAGCGCGCCGGCTGATGTGTTTCAAGTTTGTCTACTCAATTTTCAAAATTACAAGGGAAGGTGGGGGGAACAAAGTGTACTACCCAAGATTATATCTGGATGTCCATAAGCTTATGAAGGACACGGTTTTCATAACAACAGCAACTTTCTAGCCTTTTATGTCTACATCACCTCAAGAAGGGAATATCGCGATGGAGGCCCAATAATTGCGTGTCACATGTATCAAGGGAACAGACGACAAGAAAACTGTCAATTCATTCGTGATTATTTACGGGGATTACAAAACCGGGTGGAGGGGAGGTGGAAAGGCGAGAAGAAGGGAAACGTGGCAAGCATTTTTGATTAGTTGTTGGTGGGCTAAATGGCTTTTGGACTTTTGTACTATGGTGCTTGTCAAAGGAACAAATATGGCATTGGTCATAGGACCATGCCACCCAACACTCACTCATACCGCCCACCCAGGCTTTAAAGCTACGCACCATCCCCTCTCTTCTTCATTTGATGTTCATTCTTCTGGAGACCAAATGCCGGTTTTGGCCAAAATCTCCAAATGATTGACCTAAAACTACATAACTTGAGAGTGTGAAAGGAAAACTACTTCTTTACCTTCAGACGGACGTAGTTGCAGAAATCTCATGGCACCTATTGTAAAACCGACTTGTGGGAGGAGACCACAAGGGCTAGATAGTTTGATCTTATGGACAACTGCTCACTAAACCATTTTTTAGAAGTTTCTGGAGATTTCTTTCCCACACAACCAATGGCCAAACATTCCGGAATATCTAAAACTTGTATTTGGGTTCTCCCTATTTTGATTGGTTGGCGCTAAGGTCAAGATCAATGAATCTACCAATCAATTCACAGTCTTTGTGTTCCCAGATAACTCATGCAGTTCGGTGATAATGACCTCCCTTTTGGAAGGTTTGTCTCTTTGTTTACACAGATTAGGAATTTTACAGGATTTGTAAACTTGCACACATATACATATCACAGATTTTAAGATGCCAAGACACTTGAAAGACTCTGCCTAAACATACCAAAGACCACGGAAACGTATCTTCATTTAAACACCTGATCTTTGAATGAAAATATTTAAAGCAATTTACTCCCCACTATCCGGACCATTTACAGAACCCGTTGGCATTTGGTTGGATCAGTGGTGTGGAGAAGTGCCAAATACCACTTCATAAGAGGCGAACAAGGGAAAAAAGGGACATCGACCTTGACTGGGGCAAAAGTAATGCGGTATCAGGTGGTAAACGAGGTAGTTGATGGTATTTGCCTTTCACTTCTCCAAGGCGGTGCAACTACCATGCGTCAGTCCAGTCCAGATAGGGCAGGTCTTGCGTACGCAGAACAGCAGGATTATGAACTAGTAGCTAAGGGAAGAATTCAGCGGTGGGACGTGAAGCCGCACAACAGCCAAACTTATCGAAGACGTCCAATGATGCTGGTGGCGGTATGGTGCCTCCCAGATGGCGGCCATTGAAATCTTCAACCAGTGCGAAAAATTATGGATCGTGAAGGTCCCATCACTGCATAACCACCTGTCGCTGTAGATGCAGCAGTCCGCTTTTGATAGGCCCAGTCGGTTACTCTGGGATTGTTCAGCCCCGCTGAACCTAACTTAAAAGGCAAATTTATTTGAAGAGCCGGTTTTTCCTCCGGAAGAATGAGGGGGGAGAGGAGAAGGGGGCGCAACCGCATAAAGCCCTTGCTTGACTTCATTAAACACAAAATTTTCCTCACTTTTACTAACTGCTTGAAACAACTTCTCTATTTATTTTAAACTTATTTGTTTTTATGATTTTTGGATAAAGTAGACTTCAACCAGTCTATTCAATAGGTCTATCAACCTTTCGATCTGTGTAATTTTACAACCACAAGAAGAGCATTTATATCCACTTTCGCCATTTCGTAACTTATGGATATGTTTATTTTACAGCAACTGGAGCGTATAGAGAGACAGAGCAGGAAAGCAAAAAAGGGAGGGAGAATGAGAGTTTGATTAAAATGTCTGACTGCTGGCAGTTATACTGCTTCTGCGACTAATTGCCGACTCGCGTGATGCTTTAAAATGCAAGGCAAAGGAAGGCTTGCAAATTTTGAGGTAAATTTACTTAAAATCTTTAGATTAATTAATTAAGTTTCCGTTTCTTATTTTTGAAGGTGAAACGCTAAAATTGTCTCGTTTTTAGTTAAAATGTTGCTCTCTTCTCAAGGTCAACGGTAGCGCCATCTTTTAAGGCGCGCGTGTCAAAGTTCGCGCTACTTTTGATCACCCCTTTTGTCGTTGGTCTCCATGTATTATTTCTGGTTATTAGGCCAAAAAACCCAACGATGGTGGTGTTTAGAGCGGATGAAAATATTCCATCTACTGTTATCGTTAATTCCTTGCCTCGACAACCGACTTTTCACAGGTGGATATTCCTTTTGCAATAAAGGGTTATATACTCAACTAATTTGGGAACTACCTTTGAAGTCGGCACAATAAAATGGCAGTTTTTTTGCATTTACTAATTAATTATTTAGTAGAGTATCACTGTTGGTGAGTGTGGAGCAGAGGGGGGGAAAGGGGGAGACTGTGTCAACCTGCCATAGTGACGGACCAGTCCAAGTGGCTCGAATAAATGTATCAGGTGCTACTACTAAAGCTTCATCACACTCCCATCCATTTACTGGGTAGTAAATTTGGTCAAAGGGATTATCAATCTCTCTCGTCGCGAGTTAATCATCGGCAAGTGACGAAGTGTGCATCACAGAGTCGAATAATTCTTAGGTGAAGGTCTCATAGTTGACATTAAAAGCACTTGAAAATCTCGCTATGCACGAGGAAAGTGAGCGAGACCAAAGAGGATGACAGGAGGTATAAGTGATCTGCGCGAACTCCAGAGAGTCTGCGATTCGGTGGAAATGGTTCGTCAACCTTTACATAAGTCTGTTATACCACGATAGGGAAGGAGAAAGTAGTTAGGAAACAAGGAGAATGCCAACTGGACAAGGGTCACTTTTGCAATATTTTACGTTTTCTTAAGGGCGTAGGATATTTTAGTGGATCCCAATTTTTGGTTGGTTCCTACCAAGTCCTTGTGCCCAGCCCCCAATTATTTGGTCTTTCCACCAACAAATGAGCAAATCCCGATTAAAATTATTCTCGGCAATCTGCTGCACACCCATAGAGAACAAACAGCGTCACTTAGAAAAGACCCCGAAGTATTGAATGCATTATGAGTGGATCGTTTGTGGCTAACCGTAGCTCGCTAGTCGGTCTGCAAATAGGTTAAAGTACACAGCGGGTGAAAGGACAACTTGACAGTCCATCAAACTTATCGCCATCTTGCCTATTATTTGCTTCGCTCCGCCTATAACGCTCTCGTTCTCGGTTTATGCAAATCGTATGCTGGATAGAGAATGGCGGCTCTTCAATCCGGTCTAGGTGAGAAAATCTTCCTAAACCTGATTAATCGGGCCTTCGGAATGACACGCTCTGCTATTCCTTGCCTCACCATCTTCCCATCAAGTATTAAACACACTCGATGGGAGGCATTTTTATAGCTTCCCATCCGTCAGGTAAGTTCGTTCGGCCTTTTCTATCTGAAGGTAGGCAGGTAGGAAGAAATGGAAGTTTTAAATCGAGTTTACAGGCTAACGTACCATTGTCGACTCATTCACCATAAAGAATGGTATACACAATCAAAATTCTTGCAGGTTTTGACAAGCCATTCCACTGAGCCATTGCTCAAAAACNGTATCACCTTCTTCGGTTGCTCTCCCTCCTCTCTCTCTCTCTCTCCCCCTAAAATAGCCTCTTAATGTCTTTGGGTCATTCCACATTTCGGCTGTCACAAAGACTACGTGAGGTATCCTTCACACGTGAGCTTGAAAGCCTCTTTTGTGGTCCATAGAGATACTGACAAATCTGGAGGTAAGGCACGATGCAGGAAGGAAGTGAAACACCGACGCTGAAAGGAAAGGGAAAAAAGACATTTGGGGAGGATTTATCCTTCTACCCTGAGAAAAAAAATTCGCTTTCTGCATATTTTTGCTTTAAATAAGGGAGTGGAAACGAGGGGAAAAACAAGCTAAAGGCATCAACGGGCAATAATTTTGCCTCATTAGCGGTCTTGCATTTACACAGATGGTAATTCCTTTTGAAAAGGAAAAATTCCCAGATTAGCCATGGCAGTCCCAACTCAGCCATCTGAATTGACGAGCCGGTTGACTGGGAAAAACACACGTACTTAAAAGTATATAGTAATATGTATTAAACCAACCTCGAATTTACCCAAGATTTAGTTGATGCATTTTCGGCTCGTCCGACCAATGAATCAAAATATTTTCCTCTATGACTCCTGCCCCTCGGTTGTTGGCATTTGATAATCATTTAGGCGTTTGTCGACTCTTCCTCCAAACCTCAATATTCCATTAGATCGTCTGTAATAAACAAATCCAGAGTGGGCAAAAGGTCTTGCTGTATCTGTCGACTATGCGGCATCCGATTTGGAGGTCTAAGTGTGCAGATCTATACTGCAGAGGGGCTACCGAAGGGGAAGCACCTTTAGCAAACAACTCATTTATGAGTTGTGCCTGGTGCTCGAAGTAAATGAAAGACATCCAAATTGACTAAATGAGAGCTTCATTTTGTCGGTTGAGGTCAATTACTTGCTCCACTATCAAAAATAAATGTTAATAAAGTTCGGCTTCTTTTCCTTAAAATAGTCAGGTAGTCGTTCTAATTTAGGTCTAAAAGATTTGTGTGTCTTCGCTTGCGCGTTTGTTTTTTTTCTTTCAACGGGGACAGTCTATTTCCATCTTGGCTTGGAATAAGTCCACATCTTTTTCCCTCTCTCTCATAGGTAGGGCGGCTGATGCGGTAAAAATAGCTCTCTCCGCAACTCCAAAATCGGGGCTAATCCATTTGCCTCTCTCTCTCTCTCTCTCTCTCTCTCCTAGGCCTGAGAGTAAACTCAAGCAAGAAGTGAAAACATAAAAGCAGGCATTGGCCTTAGTTGGTGTGTTTTTTCCCCGGGGAAAAATTCTAACCCTGCTTGTAGATGAGATTGGACTCTAAAGTCCTTCTCGATTCGTCCTCTCCTTCGCTCAAATTAAAAGTAACTGTTATATAAAAATGCTGATAATACAGGGTTTTGTCAATGGAAAAAGAAGACTCGATCAGAGAGACTTTGTCGCCACTATTTCCGGTGAATGAAATGACTCCCTGAATAAATTCAACCCAGCGTGGTACTTGGAAGACTCACTACTGTCAATGTCAAGCGAGGGTGGACATGCATGTGTGCGGGGCTTGAGGAATCCGACGAATGCTACATCATTAAATCGCCACCCTTCCTTTACTCACTCTTCCACTACGACTTTCCGTCGTCGGTAGGTTTGAGTCAGTCTGTTGGCATGGTAATTCTTTTAACATCTCCACCGTTAGCCACTTTCTGCCCATTCTCGACCTACTGCCAAAGCACAGAGTGTCAGCACAACTGACCTGATGGGTGTGATCATAGCTTGTCAAATTGGAGAAGCAAGATTGTCTCGATTGAGAGGTTGCTGAAGCTACTCAACACCTATGCTGATAGCATTAAGGAGACCCTAAAACAATCTGTTTTACCTGGCAAGGTCACTAAAAATGGATTGCAGTAATGACTGACTGGCATGTAAAGGGAACGGTTTCCTTTTTGCTTTTGTTCTCCCCAAGCCAAGCAACCAAGGGTAGCGTTTGTCATCCTCTAAGCAATCCACTGACCACCGACCTTTACCTCAGCCCACAGAACTCCTTGCCTGCTTAGTGTAGTGAGCTGAAAGACATACATTTCAGGAGGAAGTGCGCATTTCTTACTAGTCAAACGATTAGATAGGGATCCTACCTGACGTAATAGAAAGAGGGCCCAGTCAACAGCCAAGGTAGATGACAGGATTGGTGAGCCAGTAGGGAAAAGGACTTTATTACCTTATATCATAAGAAGATTAACCTTTCAATTTAGATGGGACAGAGTAAAAAAAGGCGGTACAGTCTTATGCTCTACCTCGATTTTTCCGTCCAACACTCTGATGTCGCTCCACGTTATTCTTTACTTTTCCCTACTGTTGGATAATCGCATGGTTTTATAAAAATTTGGGAAGACACAAAGACATCTTACTAGCGATGTGGGACAAAATATTAGACAAAAAAGAAATCGTACTAAAAACTTCCTTAAGCATCAAACCTCCAAGATTGTCTTGAAATTCGCTCTCTTCTTTGGCTTCTCCTCATTAATCAGCGCCGTGTAGAGATGTTAATCACTACAAGGCGTAGAAAGGCGGGGATGGTACTAATTTTTGACCTTAGTGTTTTACTAAAACCTCACCGACCACCCTTTGTAGCTCTGCGATCACAGACGAGCGGACGGGAGCTCCCAGCACCCCCTTACTCCAAGATATCGGGTGGACTAAGCGGGGATTGTTAAAAAGGGACTCCGATGTGTTACCCTAGTGGTCGGTGTAAGGTGACAGAAGAACTCGTACAGCTCCCAATGCACCTTACTAAAAGAAGGTTTACCTCAGTTGATTAAAAATGGAAAATTCCATCCGGTGGTCTGTATGCATGCGTTATACTGTGCTTCACCCACCACATTTCCTCCTCTCTCGACCCATCCTCACAGCACAGGCTGTCAGTACAACTAATCTGACGGGTATGATCACAGCTTGTCAGCGCGGTGAAGAGAATTTGAGTCGACTGAGAGGTTACTGAAGCAACTGATCACATGTGTTGCGTGATTACCACGAGGAAGACTTCTTGTTAGAGGTTTAGAGATTGCTCAAAATTCCAACTTATCAGCCCGACTTGAGAACAGGTCTGATACAACTTTTTTACTACTTAAGTCCCTGCTTCAGTGAGGCAAAATAAAGCGTAGTTTAATTCTCCCCTTTACTTCTTATAAAATCCATTAAAATCACATCTACTTGTCCCTGCAGATTTTTTCCCATTAATTGTGTGATAGGACATAAAAACAAGAGTTTAATTAGATTGTTTATAAATAGGTAAATGTTTATCTCATTATTAAGAAAGTCAGAAAAAAAACTTCTAAGTGGACTAATAAATTTACTTATTTGAATGGACCCCACGGAGATGATGATGATGTTGCGTCTACTTGCGCGGACCTTGTTAGCATCAATTGGTTTCATGACGTCGGGGGAAATGCATCCTACAGTCGGTGATGACTCGAGATGTAGTTGGAAAACCTGATTTTTCCTCCTTTTGGAAATTAAACGACAGAGAGGTTCACAAAACGACCATACTAGAAAAGTGTGTCACCTAGACTGTACCCGGAAAAAAGGAAAACCTACTAACGATGGAATATAATCACGCATATTGCCTTGATAATACTTAGGGATGTTAAGTACACACACGAAACTTTTATACAAGTTCACCAAATCACATTTGTTCCCGTCTCGGGGTTAATTACACTTCCAAAGGAAATTCAGGTGATCCCACGAGGATGGGTATGCCACAGGGAGCACCTTGGATAACGCTTAAGCAGGAAAGGCCGGCAGGAGAGGGAAGCTGGGATGTAGTAAATACGCAGATCCTTTGGCACCCGTGGATTGGTCGGCATCTACATTTTATGGCCAAATGAAAAAGTGAGGAACAAGATACACTTAAGATCTCCTCTTAGGATAAACAATAATGAGTCCTCAACTTCGTTTTTGCAGTCTAACGCCTGCATATCCAACAGTTGGTGGTCTACTTTCCCTGCAATTTCACGATTATCTGCTGTTAATGGCAAGTAAAGGTGAATAAATCTAAAGCGGCACATGAAGAAACAGCACCAGTGAAAAATATAGGAGATGAGATAGATAAAAGGGTAACATTCCCTTCTTTTGATATCTAAATTTGAAGTAGATCATGAGGTGTACATACAGGTCGGCTTTGCAGTATATGCGGCAAGAGATCCTGTGGTATCTCTTGTGAATAAGATATTATTTCTCCTGTTTTTTCTCATGGCAAAGTTGCTGTTCTTGCATACTCATTTGACTCAAGCCGCAGACCTCAACCGTAAAGTAAAACAGTTTTGTTGGCAAACATACACTTCAGTTATTTGCTTAACTGAGAGGGCTCTTACGTTGCCAATGTTAAGGGACACAACCTCGGACTCATTAAAATCATCCAGGTTTAATTGCCATTTAATGATACTAGCCATTCCTAAAAACCTAAAAATACGCCTCTGGATAAAGGTGGTCCCAAATTTCTTATGAGTACCACAGGAGAGGTGCCATGGAACCAGAGAATTATGTAGTAATACCAAGGTGCCAGCAAAGTTGCATCCACTTTTTGTTGTCGAAAGGAAACATCGAATTAGAACTGCCTATATAAGTTAAAACCGTACGTAATTTTTTATCCACAAAAATTTATAGCGAATTTTACAATCATTCACACTAGCCAGGCTGCCAACGACGTCTAAGACTAATGGATTTAAAAAATAGCAATATATGTCCTCCAAACAATTGAGTGGAGAATAGTGGATTTAAACAGCAAATAAAGTCTAAGATTGTTAAAAGTTTCGGCTCGAAGTAAGCTACTAACTATTGTAAGTAAACAAAAGCATTTTTGGCTACTAAGTGAACAGATAGTTTTAAAAAAAGGCGTTGGTAATATTGGTTTTTATTTCCACTTGTGAACTTTATAATGATTGACTTTTAATTATTTTACTTATAATTTTCATCATTTTCTCTTACTATGCTGTGCACGCAAGTAATTCTCAAATGTCGAATATATTGCCAACAATGAATTGACAGCTGCGCTGTTGGGCATGACAACTTAAAATTTTTATAGCAAAATGCATCAACAACTCGAGTGGACAGTACAAGTATGCAAATACATTTAATTACATAGCCGTAAGCGTGTCCCCAGTTTTGTTTTCAAAATGGTAATGCTTTATGACAAATTAGTACCTTTTGTAGATTCTTGTTAAAACAGAGGTATACCAAAATAAACGGATCCTTAAATGAAGAAAATATTTGGAAGTTTTAAATCTCTAAAACACTCATGTGACTGAACAAAACAACCTGTTTTTTTAACATAGCTTGGGATAATGTTCCAAAAAATGGGGAACATGTGGAGTTGGTTGAATCCCACACTACGTAACTGGACGGTACTCCACATCCATCCGTCGGATGCAGCAGCCTTCATTGTGGTCTTTGCCACTTTCTTTTTTGCCAACCATTTTATCATCAAATGCAGGAGCGGTGTGAATAGAAGCTGGCAGAAAATTTGCCAGGTGTTTTCATCACATGGGCTGTATGACGTCCGAGGTGTGATGGTAGCTCTTTGATCCTGATGATAAACTACCAAAAGGTGTGTTAGTTACGGGTAAAGAGACTTTCCACTTTATTGGTAGCAACTGATTACCATGTCTTGACGACAATGACGTGTTAGCAGCAACAACAAGGATGGTAGTAACTTTAACAATCACCTTCGGTAATGTGAGTGGCAGTTGATATTTGTCCTCGAAAACTACTAATTAATTTCCCCACTTCTCTTAGGCGCTCGGCATGACTAACAAACCGACTCAACGACTGACTGGTGAACGAACGGATGGACGAGTTTTGGATTGCAGGGTTCGTTAAAGGACAAATGCATCGTTAATAGTTGCCTTCCCTAACGCACTACCCACCACACACCTCCAAACCACCCACCAATTCATTACAAGAAATCGTCCATTTATGAGTTGTGCGTGCGTGTTTGCGCGTATGCTTGTGTGTATGTGGTGGAGCAGAAAGGAGGAAACTTTACGCTTGAATCGTTGGTCTGCTAGTGGCAAAATAAAATCACCCAACTTGGTTGGAGTAGTAAGAGGGAGAATGTTGCCCACTGATCTAACGTGGACAAAAGTGTCACCGATTTCGCTAACTGGCAGGTAAGAGGACTCAGAACTTCAGCCTGAGACGACCCAGTTACACCTCCATCCTCGAAAGGGGGGAAAGACATCTCCAGTCCCTCTTGCCGCCGCTGAAATACCAAAAAAATCTGCACCGTATCCTCGACCAATGGAATAGCAGCCTTCTTTTCCCTCCCTAATGAAATTTCCGGTTGGATGAAAAAAAACAACAATCCTTTTTTTACCACCTTTTAATAAAAAAAGGGCAATATTCCGGATTAAGAGATAAACATCTCCTCCGGAGACTCCTTAGCAAAGAAATATTCCTCAAAAATTCTTGCGACTACGCCCAACAAAATACCTCATAGGATAAAATCTCTTTATTTGTGTCATTTAAAAGGATAAATGAGAGGTCATTTTCTAGTGCGCGTCGTTCAAGAAACATCAAATCACGTCGAACATTGTCGGGCAGGGTGGGGACAATGTTTAACCACTCCATGAGTTGTTTCATTTCATGGACAGACTGGGGGTACTGTCGAATGGTCTTAAAAAAGGGCACAGAGGTGCACAAGCCATGGGAAATTATCTCCCGAAAATATTTTCGTGGAAAGAGTTGCCTCACCTTCAGGCGGGTCAGAGCGAATAGGGAGAGTGGATTGAGCCTAAAGAGAGTACTTATTCTGGCGTGGGTTCCGTCAATTATGGAGGCAATGGCATGATCATCGGTGCGGGCAATATCTGGAAGGATGGTAGCACCTGAGTAGAGCAGATTGAGGAGAAGAAGAAACTTTGAAATGAGTGAGTTAGGTGGCCATTTCATGTGGGGATTATGCAGCCGCCATCTTGCATACTCCTCCAGAAGGTGGTAGTAGGGAGTCGCCTTCACCTCACCGTTGACCAGTAGATCAGCCGGACTTTGGAGGCCGCTTTGAAGGAGTCGTCGAAATATGGCATGAAAGTCGATGTTTGATTGGCTGTACAGGCTATGGTACATGGAGATGAGCACCCTTTTTTGTATTCCCGTTGTGCATATCTCAACCGAACAGCCACGGGCAAGTAAGGTGTCCAATATCCTGACAACAATATGATCGTAGTCGTTGGTGACAGTGGTGTCAGATGCTTGCACAAAAACACAGGAATAGAGAAAAAGATCAAGCAGGGACAAAGATGTACCATTTTCCAGGGTTGTGTGAGTTGGAATGTTTTGGGACAGGAGTTCCATGACCCGATGCCATTTGTGGTCAAGCATTGCGTTTAAAATGAGCTTGATCGGATTCAGTGTCTGCTGACACGAGTCGTGGAGGTCGACTGACGACGAAATGACCTCAGAAATGGGTCTTCTCGTCTGTCTGGTAGAAATTGCTGGCCAGCTAACTCGTTCTGCACAGGCGGAAACTTTTGTCTTCAGCTCGATGGCATTCGAACTTGGCGCCTCCTCGTAGTCATGCCTACATCGAACATAGCCATTGGATCCATGCTCACGAAGGAATTTTGGCAGACGCCAGGAGATTTTACGCCGATGCTTTGGCTCTTCCAGTGGAAAGAAGGGAATTTCTTGGCCATTTTCAGTCGAGAGGTGATTTTTAACTGTATTGCTTAGCCTTCGCATGATTGAATATATGCTGGCAGGTGGATAGCTCTCATGCATGTTCGAGAGATGCCCTCCAGCCCTCATAATAATGACTGCTTGGTGTACTACATCAACCTACTCTGAAGGGAAGGCAGCGTCTTTTCCTATTCGTCCAATTTGTAGCCAATCAGAAGCGTCACTCGTCCGGTGGTTTGAACCTTGCCTCTGTAGGGTTCATTTATGTTTAATAATTTAAAAAAAGACTATTTGGCCAATTAGGCATTTGGTTTATCCCAGTTTTCAAAAAAAAAGGACTGGAATTTGGGCCAATTAGAATGTGGCCTTTTGCTAAACCAATAATGACGCAGAGAAGAATCTGATTGGTTATGTAGGTTGTGCTACTTTTCTACAATTTTTTAAAAAACATTCAAGAAAAAAATTTCCATTTTTTCTATTATGCAGTAAAAATGTCATTATTGCGAATGACGAATGTCAAATTCACTTGTAGTTAGTTAAGCATTTGTCAGGGACACGACATTGTTCAAGTGCCTACATTAATAAAGCAGGCGATGGATGTGTGCCGCATGGTACTTTGGAGAGGGTTTGTTGGTAGTACTTTGGCTTTGGTGATAAATTACTCTAAGATGGGTTAATTACAGTAGGGAGACCCTCCATTATATAGGTTGCTACAGCTTGCCACGCCTCAGTGACATTTACGTGTAACCAGCAGAAACAATAATAACAACAGTATTAATGTATGAATTTGTATAAGCACATGAACTGAATGATTTTTTAGAGGCCTCCGAGTGACAGGCGATGATGGACATTCAAACCCACCAAATGGTTCTTCTCAATCCTGCTAGGCTCATGACAAGAGCACGCGTTGTTAGGTTGTATGTTGATTGACTTACAAACTGACAGATGAAGGGATAAAAGGGTGACGTGTGGATTGCAGGGTTCGTTAAATGAACGAGTGTCTTGTTAATAATTGGCCCCTTGACGAATGAACTAACAAACAAGAGACTCGCGCTCTTCCCACCGCACATTTCTAAACCACCCACCACCTCAGCATGGCAAGAATTCTCCTAATCATGCATTGTGTGTGTATATCAAAGTGTGTTTTATATGTATGGTGGAGTAAAAGAGCAGACGATGTGACTGTGAATCGTTTGCTTGCTAAAGGCAAAATGATTTCCCCGAAATCCCAGAAGCAGACCTAGTGAGTCACCAAAATCTCTCCCTTTTGTGCCCGGGGGCTGTTTTGGCTCCAAAGCCCGCGTTGGGAATGGAGGGAAGTGGAGGGACGACATGCGGAATATCACCTCCTCTTCTGTATCCCACTCGTTATACTTCATCAGACAATCCCATGACTCCCTGCTAAATAAGCGAGTGGAAGGGGGTGAAAGCGTTAGTAACTGGAATATTTTCTGTTTTTTTCTTTTTGCGCACTTATAAATCGCGTATTCTATTTCCCGATGTCGCATTTGCAGTCGTGTGTATTTTGTGTATAAATGTGCACCGATCAATGAGACTGTTTTTTAAAATAAAACAGCAATCTTATTTAATCCATTTGTCGTCATGGTAACCAAAGAGAGATTTTATGCCAATCTCGAAAACCTCGAGACTGGTGATTTGACCTTCTTTTTGGCGAGTCGGATGTGACCTTCAGAATGACAGTACAAAGTTAAAGTTGACCTACCAAGGTTTGCGATTTAAGGAGGCATTGGTCTTGCCTATGTCAATGAGTCGGAAGTTGACGAATTAATTGGTGGGTGAATCAGTAGGGTGTGTCCACTTCCTCTTTTTACACTGACTCATGTAATTTAGGGAAGGCGGGGAATAGTGAGGTGAGGGGTGCGCAGGCGGATACATTATCGCTTGGGTCACGAATAGGGAGTTGGTAGCTATGACAACAACCAAATAAATGAAAAGGGCACACCTATGTAGCTGATAATTAGAAAATCGGGACTATTATCGCTGGCCATGGCTAAATAATCGACTCATTACTCATTCCATTTCATCCCTTAGAAGACTAACCATGCCTGTGCACATGGACAGGAAAAACTACACCTTCAGATACGGTACGAAATTGGTGAGAACATTGAAAAGAAAAACATTTTCCTCACCACAAGTCCTCTTGAATCTCAGCAGATATTACAAAAGTGACCAAGAGGAGGATATCATATAACATTTTGGAATGTCAGAGGAGAAGAGAGGAGGGGAGAGGGTGGAGATAACATCTTACAGTTTTCTCATTCCCTGTCCTCCCGTTAGATTTCTCCAGGTGATTTACTCCCTCGGGCAATGCGAAAGTTGGGAGTGCGGATAGCTTGGCTTCCTTGCCTCTAGAGAGAAGGAAATGCATTCTTCCTTAAGTTGTCCTCGGCAGCTTGTGCCCTGATGGGCGGAGGGAGTACCTCTGTCTCTGATGAAAGTCCTCTGAGAGATGACTGTCATCTTTTTTTAGCACATGTGGCAGACAACCACATAAGTACACATGGTGAGTAGGCTTCAAGTTATAAAAGGGAAATAAAATCGGGAGTGGATAAAGGGAAGGCTATTTTACAAAATTTCATTAGGGTAATTACATCACCTCGGGACCTAATGGGAAGGGACTAGATACATCAGTGGAAACCGCTTAAAGGGAGTCCACACTTAAAAGGTTTTTATTGTTTTATTTTCCAAGCATTCTTCGCCTATTTTAAGCGGGAAGATTACAAAAACTTATTCCAGCTTTCAAAATTTTCCAAAAATTCATTCCAAGGTGGAAATAAAAAACGAAGTATACTTTGTTCTAATCCTACAGATCGCTATACGGGTGGAAAAAATGACCGGGACATTGTGAAGTAGCATGTGCCCTTCGTACCCTAGAGGCAAACTGCGACGCTGTATTTAGTGCGGCGTCATTCGTAGCAAATACGGACTTCTGTGTCCGAAAAAAGGTCAAGGACGCAGGTGAAGGAGCTCTACTTGATACGGCAGCTGCGGGTTAACACCAAGATGACAAACAAAACCACTAAAACAAGTGCATAAATGTCAAATTAGAAAATAACAAGACCTTTTCATGGGAACGAGAGTCAAAATAAATTTGCGGTCTCACGCATAGGCAACAGAATCGTAATACACTTTTACTGTTTTGCTTATCATTAGCACTCAGAGTTTAAAATGTTTTTTTCTCTCGTTTTATTAGTCAATATGTGAAGACACAAATTCACATCTTAATAACTTGAATATTTGATTGTCATAGACCTTTGGTTAAATATTAAAAATGAACAAAGTGCTCGGAAGGAAGTTTCAAACCAGGAATATTAAATTTCGAACAACTTTGTGAACTTTCTTCGTCAACCTACGCTACTTAAAGCTTCTCCATCTAAATTTGCTACTTTTTGTAAAAGTAAAATTATGCAAAGTTAGAAATGATAATATATTACGATAGGAATATCTTTGGCCTAAAAGTATAAATATGTTTAAATCGATGATTAGATTAATCACAAATTACCCCACCAATCAACTGCTTAATCTGGCGTCTCAAGTGATGATAACCTTCGCATCACTTTTAGAATACACGAATGCAAGAGGTTTACAAAATAATGAAGAGCAACAACTCCTAGAGTGCTGGCAAAGTATTTTTGCCTGTTTTCTAGACAGGTATAAAAAATGTCTCACACATGAGGCTATTTGATAGCTGTATTCTCACAGACACAAAAGTTCGGAAATAGACCCACTTTTAAGAAGATTCGAAATTTTTAAAATTCTTGGAGGAATGGTGTCGCGCACCTAGTAGGATCTGCTACTCGGAATGATGTACTTTCGCCTTAAAATTGGACAGGGATGTCAATCTCCTTCTTGGAAAGGGAAGAACAGAATAAATAGTCCTTATTTTGAGATTTTCTTCAAAATTGAAGATTTTTCCAACGAACGTAGAGTCTTTATGATTTTGAGGCATTTAACTACCTTAGAAACTAATGGTATAGTTTGTATTTTGTTGGACAATTCTGAGGAAGCCGTTCCAATAAAATTAGAACATTTACATTCCTTAACTTTAGGTGACATGATAACTTTGCAATACTAAACTAACTAGTTAGAGGAAGAGGTGACAATCTATTTCCGATATTTAACGCACATGGTGGAATACAGTCCACTCTGGACAGCATTGATCATTACCATTGAAGCCTTGGCGCTGAATGGATTTTCTTATTGACTACGACCTGAAACTCGCGGAAATCTTTAACCACAGCACAAAGGTGGGGCACATAATCGCTTATCGGTGTAGTGGCAGCAACTGGGAAAGGAAAGTCAGTACCTCTAGTAAATACGTAGCTGATCCGCAGTGTATGCGTTTTTCGTACTCTTTGAAGGGACGGAGGTGAAGCCATCTGTAGGTGAGTGGTGTGATATACAGGCGGTGATAGTCCAGACCAAGGTCGTACTTTAGCTCTGTAGTTATGGTTTAATTATCGATTTTCTGGGATGTTTCGGCAAATTGTCAGGACTGAGGACATGTCTAGACTGCATGTTTGATCGTGTTGTCCTGTCCGCATCCCCCTCCCGCTTAATGCGTTGTACTGACGGTAGTCTAGCCGATGAATTTTCTCTCTGGGAGGCAAAGCACTCCGATATGTTAATATGTGCATGTCGTGCAGATGTAAGACAAATTCGTGGTAAGTTGGTGGCACGGAGCTGCGGAAGGAGTAGGAAAAGGACTGCCTACTTGAGCATTATCATTCGTACCGTTGCGGTAGACAACACCATAGTGGATGGTCACGGAATAGTTGTAAAGAAGATGGAACTTCAGCAACTCTAATAAACCCAAAAGGAGAATCGGAGAGATCCCAATTGGTTTGTGCAAGGGGTGTGAACATTTCGTCAGGTGGGAGAGAAGGAGGGAGGAGAGGAAAGCTGTAAATTTATCAAAGACGGTCTTAACTTTGGCCATGACAGTCAAGGTGGTGGAGATTCATGCCCAGGGCCTAGCAAAGCACCCTTTTCTGCGTACACGAGTCCCCTAATAGCCAACGCTTAGGTTTCTATGAGAGCCCAAAATCCCCTCACAAGGATTACCAAGTCTCGCTGGCCCCGGAGACTGGACAACTCGAACGTAATGACAGCTAAGATTTTTCTACTACAATCCGTTCATTTCTTTTGAAGCTTTCAGTTAAAAATCCTTTTTCAGCCTTTTCAAATATTTACGAGTTTAAACGCTTGAGAGAGTTTCCTTTCATTTAAACAAAGACGTTTTCAAAGTCGAGACAAATTATAAAGGTTGCCAGAGGACCATCTGTTCGCTAGCAAAGACAGTCATTCGGCAAAAGAAATTTTGTGAAAAAACAAATATATTTTTCCTCTCATTTCGCTTAGCTAGGACAACTTGATTCCATTTTTTCCGAATCATCATCTTCGCCCCCTCGATGAAGGTTTAGCGTGATAGCCTAAGCAACGAGATGGGGAAATACTTCCCCTTTCAGAGTTCACGGTCAATACCTGTCAACACAGTACTGCCTCCATTATGAGTTGTCAACATTAATGTCTCCTTCAAGAGAGAGCTAGTCAGAATCCAGGCAAGTATTATGCGCCTGGATGATAAAACATACAAGTGGAGCTTATTTTTCCCCCTTCTGTTTATTCTTCCAGGGTATGTGACGTGGACCAGACGACCTGTGGCACAAGGAAGAATCTAAGAAGGGGTTTGAATGTTTTATCTTTCACGTTCCTGTTTTATCGCGTCAAGCTACGTTGTCGTTTGTCACATTTTTCATTAAATATTTGCACAATTGTTTTTTACTTGTCTCCTGAAATTACCCTACTAGCAAATGTACTTTTATTTGCGTCCAAAACATCACTTTTGCTCTCGATTCTGCTTAAATGGGAATATAAGTAGTGTTGTCGTTCAATGAAATGGCCACAACTGCAATCCGTATGCCATATTTTTTGCCCTAGAAACCAGAAAAAAAACAAAAACTTGTTTTAGATCCTGTTTTTATAATAGGCCTTTGTCTTTAAAGTCCAGATGACAATGTCACACTCTCACGGAAACTCCAACTTCCTACTGTTACTAGCACACGTGATCTTGTCACTGTTTGAGAGGTAAGAAAATCAGCGAGTCACGTAGAGGAATCTTACCGGAATGGGGAAGAATAAAGTGGATTTAATACATTTTCTCCCTCCCTCCCACTTCCCAGGTGGTCTGCCAATAGGTGGACAAATGCCATTGCGGCATCACATGCCAGACAGTCAGACCACCAGACTGACAGTCACTTCTCCCGGTTCTAAAAATGAGCCGTATAAACGGCTCGTTGTCGTAGTGTACATGAAAGTAGTGAAGAAGAAACCACAAATTCCTCATTTGTTCGCGAACAATATGTGAAACTGCCTTGGTGCAGTGACCTTCACCTCTACATTATCCTCCCAGTTGACGTAGGTAGGAAGGACGTGTCCTCTCCCTCTACCCTTCGCTCACCCACTACAGACAGGTTTTGTTCACTCCTCATCGCCGCAGTATTCAGGTCAGAAGTAGTAGGTAGAACTTCATGCCATCAACACTAACAACCAACTCAGGTGAGTAAGGAAGGAATGAGGGTGGAGAAGAGGGGAGGTAATTCATAGCATCAACGAGGAAGATACTCTCTTCTCTCGTAGTCAAAGGACGCGAAAAGAATAGAGAGCACATCTGTCCAGTTATGGGTAAATAATGCTGGAGGAAGATAATTAAACCCTTACCTGATGCAAAAGAGAACACCTTGTCCAGCTCCTCATAAATTATTCATTATGGGTTGTATGTTGCGTGGTGAGGGAAGAAAAGAATGGAAAACATAATGAAGGTAAGACAGAAGAAAGGACAAAGAGCAGAAGGGAAGATTGAACAACATAGCCAGTGTGCCATGTTAACCGGTCTTTTGCAAAGCGGTTCCTTCCATCACG